GATTTAAAATGAAAAATTAGACAAACCTATTTTCAAATTAGGTATTTGCTCTGTTGTTGATATATATTTCATAAACATTTACGGGCCAAGGGGAACATCAGCTGCTGATGGTATAATTTGAAGAAAAAGTCCGTTATGCTAACCTCCTCCCTTCATATTCAGAATTTTCTAGTTGTGTATAAAATGTGTGTATTGTGCCTCTCTAGTTCTTAATAAAGGTTAAATAGTTTTGAATTTAGTCATGTCACATGCCAATATAAACCTATAAATAATCTATTGCAGTATTTTTTACCATGGTTTAAAACTTTTATCTTATTATAAATGATAAATGACCTGCACTTGTATGGCGCCTCTCAGAGTAAGGACTCCAAAGCGCTTTACACTACAGTGTATCATTTACCCATTCACACACATTCACACACTGATGGTGGTGAGCTACGATGTAGCACTGACAGGGGCGAGGCTGCCGAGCACAGGCACCACCGGTCCCTCCGACCACCATCAGCAGGCAAGGTGGGTTAAGTGTCTTGCCCAAGGACACAACAGCAGAATTCTCTGTCCGGAGCCGGGATCGAACCTGCATCCTTCCGATTACTGGACATCCCGCCCAACCTGTTGAGCTACTGCTGCCCCGTTGTCATATTCATTATAGAATGAATATGACAAATTATCTTTTTGTGTCTGAATGCAGGCTCAATGAACAAGTACATGAGTATGTTATATTATGTAAATATCAATCCTACTTTTTGGAAATAATAAGCAGTTTGTGCATACAAGAGAATTAAAGAGAATTTAAAGTGAAGCGCTTGCACGTACTGCGTTAGTGGTTTTTGGGGCGGGGGGGGGGGGGGGGGGGGGGGGGTAACCACGAAGCCTTTGTGCTCAGGGCACCAAAATAGCTAGCAACGGCCCTGAAGTCAAGCACAGTTTTTGGAAATTCAATTTGATTCTTATCAAACATGAACGCTATAACAATAAAATTAAAACTCTAATAAAGGAAATTTCAGATTCTAATAAGTTGACTACTGCTGTTAAAAAATGGGAATACATATATAAATTCTATAAAAATTTGTATACACCAAAAATTTCCAGGGACAATTGTGAAACTTTCCTAGAGAATATATCCTCACACATTCCGAAAATTAATGACACTTTTAAGAAAAGTTGTGAAAACCAAATTGCTCTGAATGAACTTGATGCTGCGGTCAAGCGCCTGTCTCCAAATAAAGCTCCTGGATCGGATGGTCTCACAGGCGATTTATAAATATTTTCGGGTTGAAATTAAGAATCTATTGCTACAGGTATTCCAAGAAATTTTTGACTCTAGTGTACTTCCACCAACCATGAGACACGGAGTTATAGTGTTAATTCCAAAACCAGGGAAAGACCTTAGACATATTGATAATCGCCGACTCATAACTCTTAGAAATTCTGACTACAAGCTTCTAACTTACATTTTCACGGCTCGGTTGCAGGTAGGAATTTCAGATGTAATATCACAAACTCAGTCTGGCTTCATGAAGGGAAGATTAATTCATAATAATATTAGATTAGTGATGGACATAATTGAATATGGCCACCTGATTCGAGATAATGGGTTTATTCTTTTTCTAGATTTTTACGATTCGGTCGAACACATAGTTTCGTTCTTTCATCACTCCAACATTTAAATTTTGGGCAACATTTTACAAATGTAATCTCAGGTTTATACAATGATATTAAAAGTTGTGAGATGCTACCCAACGGCTCTACACCCAACTTTGATGTTAAGGTTGGAATCCCTCAACGGTGTCCTATTTCACCCCTACTATTCATTATTGCAACTGAAACGTTAGCCATTTTCTTGAAAAATTGTAATTCCATCAAAAAAACTAAATGTATTTGGAACAGATTTAATTACTAGTCAATTTGCAGATGACACTACTGTTTATTTTAAAGACAAAGATCAAATAGCTATAACAACTGAGTGAGTTGGGAAATTCTCTAATGCATCAGGTCTGAGGTTAAACCTAAACAAGTGCGAGTTGTTCTCGATACCTGAAACCACATTAGTGGAAATTCACAATATCCCTATAAAATCCAAAATTAAGTACTTAGGAATGTATCTCTCTAAAGACTATAACCTAAACCAGTTATTAAACATAGACTCCAAACTTAGATTGAAAATTTAAACTCAACTCCCGGTTACAAAAAGTCAATATTTGGACAAATTTATTTAACCAAAATGGAATGCTTATCTAGATGCTTATATCTTGCTTATTCTACTGCAATCCAAACCAAGTTAATTAAAACAATAAATCAAATGAATTTTAATTTTATTTGGAGAAATAAACCACATTGAAAAAAGCCTTAATGGTAAAAGCATTGAGGATGGAGGACTAAATGTTAGACTTTAATTGCCTAACTGGGATGATAAAGTTAAAATGGATCAAATCATGGCTTAAAGACATTCACTCCTTCTGGTATTGTGTTCCTCGATACCTGCTTCAAAAAATGGGAGGACTGGAATTCCTCTTGAAAGCAGATTACAATGTTAACAGATTACCAGTAAAGTTATCAAACTTTCATAAACAAATTCTTATGTACTGGAAAATGATAAACTCACAATTTCTCACCACACTCCATCACCCTATGGAACAACAGATATATTAATCATAGAAATCGATCACTTTTCTTTAATGAATGGCATGAGGAAGGCATTTGGTCTGTTTCATATTTTGGATCACTCTGGCAACTTTCTCAGTTATGAAAATCTTTGCAAAAATATAATTTCAGGGCAAATAAATCTGTTTAAACGTATCCAAGCTATTCCAATAGGTTTAATCAATCTAATAAAAGGGGCTTTACTTTATCAAAACAGTACTCCGTTATTACCATCCTTATCAGTAAAAGACTTTTCAATACTTGATGAAAAATGTAATAACACATTAAGAAAACTCTTAAATGACATGTATACAGAAAAACCCAATAGAAATAACATATTACACAAATTTGATCAAGCTACAGCTGGAAAATTTAGAACCTTTCATTTAAAATTCTGTATCTTTCCGAAGAGTCAAGAAACTCATTTTAAAATTATGAATGATATTTATCCATCGAAATAATTACTCAGATTACTTTTCAAAATTAATAATATTTGTGCCTTCTGTAACAGTGACATTGAAACTACGGAACATCTATTTGTCACATGTCCTCAGGTGTTTTGGGTGGATATAAATAAATGGTTAAAGAAAGCTTTTCCACTGATAGAACCATTTACCATAAACAAAATTATTTTTGGGATATTAATAATAAATTTGATGAAACATGTATTAACACAATTCTTTGTCTTGCCAAATTTAATGTACATAAATGTAAATACTTAAAGGTCCCCCTAAATTCATTATCTTCATTTGTGAATTTAAATTATATCTAGATTCACTAAAATTACTAACAGGAAATAAGTCTACAGCTATATATAATAAACTTGCAGCTCTTCCCCTTACGTTAGAAACGTGATGTATTTTGCTTTATCTCGCTTATTATGCTTCTTTTTTCACTTCTACTTTGTACTTTCTGTTTACTTCCTTTTGTTGTGTTCCGGTTCACTCTCACTGTTAATTTTCAAATATATTACTGATTCTATGTACACCATTTCTTGTAGGGCTGCACAATATATCGTAAATATATCGTTATCGTGATGTCAGCATGCACAATATGCATATCGCAACGAACAGATAAATATTGCAATAAATGGTCAGCTCAGATGTTTGCTAAACATAATGCATTCTGTCAATCAAACGGAAGTATTGTTTTTTTTTAACAAATCAAATAGAGCTCTTCATCCATTTGGTCAAATTGGTGGGTTCTCATAGGTTTATTTATTTATTTTTTTTTAGGGTTCTCATAGGTTAGATGCCTGCCCCCGAGGCGGGTAACACAATTTTGATGGTAAGAAAAAACTTGAGTTAGCTTTGTTCTGCTCTTTTTGCCGATTCTGCTTTTCCCGGGATCCACTGATTACCTCATTTTATTTTTCCCTTTCCTCACATCTTTTGCTTTTATCATTTTTACAATTTTATTTCTTTGTTTTTGATTACTTTTGTTCCTAAGTGTAAGTTTTTATCGCAAGTAATATCGTCATCGCAATATTAATCAGTTATCGCATATCGCAGGTTTTCCTGTTATCGTGCAGCCCTAATTTCTTGTTATGTTTTCTTGAAAATGTTCCAAAAAAAAACTTTTAAACAAACAGCCAAACAGTTATTTATTTACATTTATTGCTGCTTCGGCTAAAAGTTTTAGATCATCAACTAATCATCCTAAAATCAACTAATTAATTAGAAAATACATATTTTAAGAAAAGGAGCTTGAGCCTTCTCTCCTGCAGCAATGACTTGTGGGTAATTCCCTTGCCCGAGGTCCGCATCGCTGCAGATTTGGGTGAAGTGCAGATTAAAGGTGGTCAATTTCCGCACCTACCATGCACTCGCACTCCTGTCCGAGAAAGCGCAATTGAAGCATGACTACGAACTAGAAATTGGCACATCGCATATGCAACGTTACCACATAATTTCCTCTCACCTAGCGTAGCTGCTACTCACCACATGACCAGATCAATGGTGGTTCTGTCCTCTTGTGGGAAGTTCACTGAACTTACAGCCATTTCCCCTCAGTTTTCTCCGTGTCTGGTTCGATGACGTCACTTTCGTGAAACATTATTTTCCCCATTCGAAAAAAGCGCGTTCTTGGTATGAAAATGAGTCTTTAAAATTCACGGACATCAAATGTGAAATCCACGGCACAAAACAAGCAGAATTAGAAAATAGCGTTTTTAGCCCGTTGACTTGCGCTCATTTTTTCGTTCTTCCGGGGACCCGTGAGGCGGAAGTGACTCATGAACGTCTGCTGTGTATGAGCTTTAAGTTTAATACACAAACGAGGTTTGATTTATTCCAACAGGTGGGAAAACCCAGACATGAAAAGTCAAACACAAAAATCACCAAAACGCGACACCAGAAGAGTTGTTCCTCTTAAGCGTTTATTGATATTTAAGTTTGCTTCTTAAGGATTTTCATTGTTACACAGGGAAATTAGTCACACAAGTAAAACTGAGTTAATTATCTTTACTTCTTTTATTATTTATATTATTCTCCCTTATAATAAGCGTTTATACTAAAAAAGTTACACAGGAACTATCATGTGGCTAACTAACTTGTGAGCACACCGGGACGTTAAACTAACACATCACAGATAAAAAAAAAGAACTTTCATAATGTAGAAGGGCAAAAAGACGACAGACATGATCGAAGTAAAAATTAGGAGACAAACACAAAATTGGATGAGCATTTACAATCACACAACTCAGCAAAACTCCCAAGAAAACCAAAAGTACGCTCCGCTTCCCTCCCGTTGGGTCTTATTTGGTAGATATTCCCATGTCCGAGTCTTACTTCAGCCCGGGACTAGACGGACGTTTACATTCCTGCAATCTGCCTCCAAAACATCCCAACTCCGTGCCACCATCAGCACACACATCTCAGCCCAGTCTCATCAAATAGGTTCAGGTGAAGACTACACATGCAAGAAACAGGCAGCTAACGGACTCGTGAAATTTATTTATTTTTTTGACATTTTGTTTATTTTAACTAGAAGAAAAAAAGCTCATGCACTCTGATGATATTCAACAGGTTCCTTTAGGAGTAGAGGTGGTGTAAAGGCTAAATGTCGGAAGGCAGTGGAAAGCTGCCATTACAAATGTATTATTATTATTATTATTGAAGCTAAAAGGCGTAATTTCATTATTTATGGCAGAATTTTGCCCACATTTGTTCTCCAGCCCTGTTTTTTGGCAGTATGACGTCATTAGCTGTAACAGGATGGTGGAAGGCAGTGTGGGGGCTGGCTCATCGTCACTGTCGGGGTTGTTAGTTGGTCTCAAAATAGTTTGTTGTTCATTAGCTTTTAATTCCTGCGTTAGCTGAATTCAAGCGCTCCAATTCACTTCCACTTATTCCTCATACACATTTTATTTTGGAGGTGAGCAGGGCTAAGGAAAAACAAAAATCTCAACCGACGCCGGCTAGCGAGCGACACACGAGCACGGCGTTCCAGCGCACACCCGACTCACTCAGAAGGACTGACGACGGGCGTGCAGGTTGCACACAGTCCAGAGGGAGACAAACGAAAGGCTTCCTGCTCGCCGCGTTAAATCCAGCGTACCAACAGAAGAAAGAGGAAAAGGCTCTTTAACGATGAGGGGCAAATGGAAGACCAACAACCTGGCAACAACAAGGAGGAAGTTGTTGCCAGAATGGCTTTTTTAGGCTGTAAGCGCCCGACAGGTGGGCCCGTCGGTCGCTGCAGCCCCGCGTCGAGACGGGGAACAAAGAAAAGCAACAAACGGTAAAAACTAGCTACAAAAGACACTGTTGTAGGTATCTCTGCTAAATGTTGGTTTTATTCTACATCACATTAAAGTCATTATATATCAAAGAGAAACGTGTTACAGGTTATTTTCCTCCTCGTCAGCACCAACTGATCCATATTAGTTATTACTATTGGTTATGGCGACGTGTGCAGCGTCTACAGGCCACACTCTGGGTGGAGGTTAAAGGGCTCTATTGGCTGCTTCCTGCTTCACCTCCTGTGTTTTCTCACTTCTAAAAAACGGCATCATCACAGAACGGCTACTTTGTTTTTCATCTAGGGATTCAAACGGAAGGGCTGGAGTCGTGTGTGCAGCAAAATGTGGAGGACAGCAGTGTTTTCCAGAAACCCCTCCCTCTCTCTGCTCTTACGGGGAATGACGGGAGTCGTGTTGTGACAAATAAGAAACCCATTCGCCTTGTTCCTGCGTCGTCGTCGTGCTTCGCTTTTCCTTTCGCCCACCACTCTCGCACGGTCCGGTTTCTGGTTCTTCAGCAGGACACCTCCATGGTTTGGGAGGGGCTGGGCGGCATTTGGCCGCCCTGCGAGCCCTGGGACAGGGTGCGTGAGCGAGAGCGGGAGCCATCCATGGAGTAGGAGGAGGACAGCGAGGCGGTGCGAGAGCGGGACAGGCGGGTCATGCAGGAGGAGGCCACTGTGGAAACACAAAGACAAGTCATCATCATCAGGGTATCTGCAGGTTTAAAGAAGCCACATTTAAGACTTTTAAGACCTTTTTTAAGACCACTTTGATCAAATTTAAGCTATTTTTTAAAATTTAATTCAAGCTATAATTTGCAGCTATTGCCTGGAACCGGTGCTAACCACACCGCGATCGTGGGATTAGCCATCCAGTTACCATTAAACTTGCACTTCCCCATGGCGCAAGCTCCCACTAGCTTAACCAGCTAATGTGCTCATCAAAAAATAGCCCCCTTACACAACCAACTGAACGTGTACGGTAGGGCTGTCGCGGTAACCGCAAAAATGAAATATCGCAATATGAAGAAGCCCACCGCGCTGCATCATACGCCACCGCGATTACTGAACTTGGTTCAACTCAGTGATGCATGTTGAGAAGGATGGCTGCACTGGTATCAAAACGAAACGTTACTTCGCTCCTTTGGGAGCGCTTTGGTTTTCAGTACGTCAGCTGCTGCGCAGCCAGGGTCCTTGGCCGAGACGGAGCTGCCACCAGCGGCAAAAAATAAATAAATAATAAACGCTCGGAGACCTCCTGAAGTCCCGGACAAGCACTGCTTCTGCAACCGTCCCGAAGAGAGTTTGAGCCGAGCTGGAGCTCACTCGCTACCTGCAGGAGGAATGCATCCACCCTAAAGAAACCCCCTGACATGGTGGAGCAACAACCGGGAGAGATTCCCTTTGCTCGCCAGAGTCGCACGCAAGTTGAGTTCGGAAGCGAGCGGGGCCGGACCGGAGCGGAGGTAGTGGAATTTGGGGTAAGTGCAACGAGTGCACCATCCGAGAGGGTTTTCAGTGTTGCTGGAAATGTTGCCCCCCCTCTCAGATCCTCTCTCAAAGCGTAGTTAACATGCTGGTTTTCCTTGTGGGTAACAAGGACGTGACCGAGCTATAAAGCACCGTCATTCGTGTGTGTGAAAGTGAAACGATAGTGCCCCGCCCCCCGGCGCGCGCGCGCCCGGTACATGTAATTTTTTATGCTTGATTTTAAACAACTAAACAAAATGGGGACTTGTTTCTTATTTGTTAGATGCTGCAGCCAAATTTGCATTTAAAAGTTTAACCTTCTCCTGAATTTTGTTGTTTTTAAGTTCAGTCGGACTCCGACTGTCGGACAAACAAACGTTACTGCGATCTGTGTTGTTACTGCCCTTTGATCTGCATTCAGTAAAGCGTTATAAAAGAAGGCACGGCAATTTTTAACCTTTTTTAAATGTGTAAACATTATGTTTATATAGTACTGCAATAAAAAAAAGGGCTGCAATAATATCGCACACCGCAATATTAAGCCACCCTGAATCACCGCAGGGGGAATTCCTCAACCGCGACAGCCCTAGTGTACGGTTCCGCTTACGCCAACATCGTACACAAAAAATGCTGAACGCCAACTAGAAATTCACGAAAATTTTATAGAAATAAAAAAATTATGTTTATTGGGTCTTTGGTAATTTAAGACCTTTGGAAACTGTTTTTAAGGATTATTTGTCATTTTTAAGGATTTTTAAGGCCTTAAATTTGGAAAAGCAAATTTAAGACTTTTTAAGGACCTGCAGATACCCTGAATAGTTTTACAGAAACAACAACAGTTGTTGCATCTCAAACTACTAATGCCTTACAGTACTGAGCAAAAACGTCCTAAATATGTTCAGAGATGCAAATAAGTGTTGTTCTCGTCAACGAAAACGATGACGAGTCGATTTCGTAGGCGCCCCTTTTTCATAACTAAAACCGATGAGCTAAAAATAGCTCTTAGGTGACCAAAACACGACGAGACGAACGGGAGTTTTCGTTAACGAGCCGAGACTGGACGAAGTTCAAAGTACACCTTTCTGCCCGTCTCGCTAAAGTTTAACAGCGCTGCTGCTGTCGGTGTCCTCAGCCCAGCCTCGGCAGCTGAGTGAAGCGGGCTCCCACCCACATCAGAGAGCACTAACCACTATTGCGTGAATTTCTGATGTGGGTTGAAGGTCAACTTGACTCAGCTCGGCTCAGCGCTGCCCTGCCGCGGGAACGCTTAGCGGCTTATCGACACTTCTACGAGCGACGACGTTCTTACTAAAACATATCCGTAATATTAAAGTGTTTCTTATCCGTGTGCTTCCGTCATGTGCCGGGATAATCCTCCCTGGTTCCTGGTTCCTAACAACGGGTCACATTCCTGCTTTTTAACCCAACAGCATCACAATTTAAGCCCGTCTAAACGTTTATGAGCATCTCTGCTGATGCTCAAGAGCAGAACTGGGTTGTTTATATAAATTCTGGTGCAGTCTGGAAAAACATTACTGCATTTAAGTAGGTGGACTTTTCCAAGGACACCAAGATGGAGGCGTGATGAATCAAATAATAACTGAAACACACACATTTCTTTATTTCTGTGTAAATATTATGTAGAATACTCTGTATGTAAATCATACATTTCTTCAGTGGAAATTACAGAATGGTGCACAAATCTGCACCCAGAAATGTTTTACATTATTATGATTATCAATAAAGTAAATAAGCGATACCAGTCTGGGGATGATGGTTTTATAAAACCTGGGACATCTGAGACTTTCTTCTGCCGGCTCTTTGAGAGTACAGACGCCTTTTTCCTCCTCTCCTCCCTATCTTACCCTCAAGGCTCTTTGTCTGTCTCTGGGTGCACGGCTGCTTCTGCATTTTTTCTGGAAACTGAAATGACTAAAATGGATCTGGTCAGTTGGTCACTTAACGCGATTAACAACATTTTTTTCAATGATGAGAACGGGAGAAGGGGCTCCCGGTTGCCCCTCTGGGACAGATCCAGTTGGACATATCATGGACTCCTGGAAACAGTGGAACCTGATTTGCCTCTCTCAACTGTCTGTAGAGGATTCTGAAGACGTGTGGATATTCGTGGTGTTGGTGTCAGGTTTCCTGTTCTTTGGCCTAGGAGGCTTCCTGGCTTACCGGAAACTTAACAAGCTGTTGAGGAATATTGGCGCTCTCCCAGAGCTCAGGGATGGATTACACCGCGCTGTGAATGCACAGACTCATAATTGTCGAGATGAGTCGTAAGCTTGGAACTTTGGCGGAGATTCATGCCTTGGCACAAAAGATGGATGCCTTCAAGGATAAGAGTGGACGAATCAGCACGGATTGGGATAGATTAATTTACACCATTATTGGGATTTTGAGAGGGTGAGGACCAACGGAACTCTAAGACAGAGAGGGAATTATCTCTGTCTGGCCCCAAAACCATTTCTAATCTGAATCTGGTGCCCTTGAGCCTGTGAGGCTGCAATGAATACTCCCCCCTCAGAAGAAATGTGGAATGCTACCGTCGCCATGGCAACCCTGTCTCCTATCCCAGCCTGGGCGGGACTGTGGACTATGAAGACCGCCAAATCGTTCCAGGAGTCACGGTGCCCTCCAAACCCAAACAACCTCCCTCCCCTGTCCAGATTGAGGTGAAGAGCGCTGCTTATCACGGCTGCATGCACTGACGTGTGGAGAGTCCCAAACCCACCACCCCACCTAGTGGACACTTATGTTATGTAATGTCTGACTCCTGTTGCATTTCTGTCTGAGGTGTGTTTTGCAGAGCAAAGCTGCCCTCCCTGTGGAGGGTAACTCTGAAGTGCCTTTTTTCCTCCATCTGAACCAATCCTCATGTAACCCTCTGATCTCTATTAAGGTAGCGCGACTCAGGGTTGAGAATGACCACAGTCACCAGTTCTTGTCATGTGTCTTGCCCACGTATGTCTGATCTCTGAATTGTGTGTACTGAAACTCTAATTTCCCTCTGGGATTAATAAAGTATCTTTGAATTTGAATCTGAATTTTGTCCCATAACTCACTCCAGTGGCTCAGAGTATGTCTGACCTATAAATGCATTTGTTAGACAATAATACTTTGTTTAATGTTTTTGTAAAATTAAAAACAAAAACCTTAGTTGACTAAAACCGGCCAAGACTAAAATGCATTTTCGTCGTGAAGACTACGACTAAAACTAAAATTCCCGCCCAAAACAACACTGCTGCAAATAAAACTTTTCAACCCTCATTTATTCACCATAAACCCTAATTTCGACTTCTCCGCCTGACACCATTATTCGTCGACGCAAGGGCCCTTGACGGGCTTACGGAGGAAGACGGAGACATTTTTGATGAGATTTTACAGAAAACGGACGGCTTGGCATCAAATTTAAAAGTCGTCCCTCGTTAATGAAAAGTCAGGCAGGATGGCTCGCTGGCTGCTTCCTGGCGAGCGACGTGTTGGAGACCCTGATCTAGTCTTGTGCAGTCGTTCCCAACCTGGGGTCTGCGACACCCCCCAAGGTGGCCCTGAAAAAGTTGCAGGGGGGCCCCCACATTAAAGAGAGACTGCACACCATCAGAAAACGTAACTCCGCCCCTTGTCAAGATTAGAAAAATGCTCTGAAAGTGGGCGTTGGCAGGAGGCACAGAGTGGCATGGCCGAGTGTGGGGAATTTCCATCCTGGGAGGGAGGGGGAGTGGGAGGAGACTGTACCGGTGAAATTGTTCCAGCCCCAGCCAATCACAAGTTTAAAATGCAGTAGCTGCTGTTCTGCCACAGGGGGGCAGCACTAAGACGCTTTTCGACCTAGATTCTAGATTTAATCAAGTTTACACAAACATGTCAAAATTGCACAGAAACAGAAAGATTGCATTTGTAAAGACCCAATCATACAGTTAATTAGCAAAAGTAAAGTTATTCTGGGGTTTAGTTACTCTTTAATGTGTGCGCTGAAGTTGTGAGGTTACCAAAATTACATTTATAAACTTGAGATAACACACCCAATAGTACAATCAAAACCCTGTAAGAGGCATTTCTCTGTAGGTCTGTATAAAAAAATCCAACTAATCACTTTTGATGAGTGTATGCGTGAAGGAGTTGGGGGCTCCTGGCTGGTCTTGGACACAGGAAAGGGGATCCTCGTGAAAAAAGGTTGGGAATCTGTACAGAGGTTCCCAACCTTCATTCCCCGAGGACCCCCTCGCCTGCCTCCAAGTCACACAGAGTTAAAACTCACATGGACCCCAGGTTGGGTCCCATTAAAACTACTATTTCTGTGTGTTCAAAGCAAGACTTGGTGCTTTTATTTTGATGAGCCACACCACAGCATTTCCTGTTTGTTTCAGCTGATGAGAAAACGAAACAGTTGTGACTGATCTAAACAACCGACCAGGACAACAAACATTCACCCCGCCACTGGTCAGAGACGTGAACTTACTGTAGCCCATGCCCTGGATGAAATACTTAAACGCCTCCGTGAGTTTGGCGGGCTGCAGCAAAAGACAAAATCACGTACGTAAGCGGTTGTTTTTCACTAAAACTTAAATTTAACTCCATGTTTGCTTCTGTTACCTGAGTCAGCTGGGGGAGGCCGCCGGCGTCGGCCATCTGCGAGCAGACACGAGAAACGTCAGACAGGAAAACACTCGTCGTAAAACCAGGCAGAGCGCGCCTTACCTTCAGGAAGGAGGTGGTGGTCGGGTCCAGCTTGCTGTTGCACTCCACCTGGTGGTCACAGAAAACAACACCACTACCAACCCCCAAACCTGCACACACGCTCAGCGGTTAGGCGAGAATCGAGACTCACAGCAGCTTCCTCATACGGAGCGGAGTCCCCCACCACCAGCATGACGGGACACCTGAGGGTCACAGCAACACGAGCCGTCAGAGGACGCAACACTTCACACATTCATGTCAACAGGGAGGAGAAAGGCTCGTACTTGAAGGTGTTGTTGCGGTCCAGGTTCAAGTCTCTGCGGCTGCTGGGATACAAAGACAGAGTGAGCCGGCTGTGAGGAGGACATTTGTTTATTATCGGAGTGACGTTTACTTGTTGTAGGTCTTCCAGAACAGCTCTATGTTGGCCAGGTTGGGAGCTTTGGAGATGCGCTCTCTGTTACACTGGACCGCTTCTGTGTTTGCGGACAGCTCCTCCTACGGGACGCGTTCAGATGGTGTTAGAAAACGCCACGGTCGTCAACACAACGGCTTCATTAACAACAAAGAGGACTGCTCGCACCTGGCTGAACAGGTGAGACAGGATCTGCTCTGTGAAGGTGGAAGTCACAGAACTCAACTGTAGAGGCGGAGAAGACAGATCAGTCACCTCCAGGTAGGATTTTAAACACGTTCACATCACAAAAAGCAGCACGCATCCGTCTGTTTCACATCAAACACCCAAGCTGCTCCTGTCGGAGCCAATCGGATCACAGATTGGCGTTTCTGTGCAGCAGGACGTCAGGAACCCAGATGATGAGCAGACGTACCTTCTGAGCGGCCCAGTCCATCCATCCTCGTGCATTAGTGTCGATGTTGATCAGAACCAGACCCTCCACCGAGTCCGGGTTGGCGAGCTGCACAAAGACAGGGAGTTTAAAATGAACACGGACACCAACAATCTGAAGTAGCTCTGATTTAGCCTCATCTTTGTTTTACTTACTAAACCCCACCAGCTAAAACACGGCCGTCCAGTTTTTCTTCCTAGAGGCTCGGATCGTAACACGCGCTGGCCTGTTTCGGGCGTTTCTTTATGCCATCAGACGTCGAGTAAAAACATAATTACTACAACGTCACTCGTTGCAACTGGCTTCCTGAACAGCCTCAGTTTGGAGAAATCCACTTTACACCAGAGAAGACTCAAAAACAGATTGTACTTCTTCTTAAAACAACCCCCATCTCCAACATTTCACAGCAGTATGGAGACTTTAGCCGTTACGTTGGTGCTAATCTAACGCTATACGGCTGAAATATTGATGCATGGGATGTGCAACATTTAGCCGTTGTTGGCGATATTTAACGACGACGACCAGCAAGAGGCAGGAGGACCAACAACACCAATTGTGACCAACTATGAACACATGAATCTGGGAACAACGAGCTGCCATCAGTCAGAATCAGAGTCGGACGAGTGTCGGGGTGATCGGTGGAGGAAGTTAAGGACCAACACAGCAAATATTGACTCTGCACCAAATTAATGTAATTCTCAAAGCATTTGACACTTCCCCGTGTAAATACACCAACGACCACAGAGACATCTGCTTAAGAAAGCATGAAGGAGCAGACGGAGAGCCACATTTAGTTCATAACGGACACACAGGAGTAAACTAAAGTACTACCAACGGTTCCCGGCAGGACGAGCTGCCGGTCAGGAGATAAAAGCTCTTTACTGCTGTTCTACAGTAACCCGGAGCCACTCGATTAAAACAGCATCAGATACTGACGGCTACCTTTTTCATTGGGAATACAAAAGACAGGTTAGAAGAGGAAGGAAGCAGCGGCTCACGGTGAACTTGGAGAGGATGTACGCTCCTGCTCCCACGCCCACGCCGATCACGCTCCGGAAGCTGATGGAGAAACACAAGTTAACACAATCAGCAGGGAAACATCCAATCCCCTCACCTGCAAGAACACGCTAATGGTAACAGAATACATGAAGCGATACGCATTTGACTTGTTTATCCAACCAGCATCTTCTCTAACTGATGGTCCCATCGAGTCCTAGCCTGCTGGACGCTTTAACGACTCTCCTCCAGCTTTAACCCAGTTAAACTCTGGTGGCTGAAAAGGCCATCCCAGCATGTTCCAGGGACCATCGTCTTGGTGGAAAAGCCAACAGTCACCAAGGTTTAATTAAATAACAGATGTTATGGGATCCATAATGACAGCTAGCTAGCTCCTGTTATTGATATTCTGCTGGTCCACAGGCCCACTTCAGGTACATCAGTCCATAAAACTGTCTCCCAGAAGTCCCCTAGGCATAAAGCAAGTCAGATGTAGGTGTTGCACGTAGTCTAGGCTGGAGTGTGTCCTAGAGTGCAACCATGAACAGCCTTCATCTGGTCCCCCTCTACGAGTCCCCAGATGTCCCGACTAGATCGCGGCAGCTCCAGAACGTCTACACTTCCCTACAACGCTCGCCATTGTGTGCCAAGTTCTACCAGAGGTGTTTCAGATCCACTTTAGGCCCCCAAAAGAACCAGAGAGCTTTAAAACAGCCTTCCGATAAGGGGTTAAACACCTTCTGTGCTGGTTTTACGCATCACTCAGCTACGAACTCATGCAAAGATCCCGAAAATCCTCACGGGGTCAAAAATACTTCTGGTGCTTCTGCGAAAATCCACTTGAGTTAAATGAAATGTCGTCAACTCACTTGAAAAACTGCAGAACAGCAGGAATCATCTCCGCTATGGTCTCCATGGAGGGATACTGGTAACTATGACGACAAGCACAAATCAAGTCTTTCAATATGAAAACGAGATGAGGAGTAGGTTATTATCTGTGGCCGGGGACGCTTCGGGTCTCCGAGCTCCCTGAACCGTTTAGAACAACTGGATAGCTTTAATAAGCACCGATGGGGAGCCTGGTTTTTAGGTTTGACCCAGTTTAGGGGAGCAGAAGCTCACACTTCACTCACTGGGATTAAAAACAGAAGAGAACGAGTTTCAGTCTGTTGAATAATCAGCAGGGTCAGAGGTCAGAATCCTCCTGAGCCACAAAAACAGTCACACATAAAAAACAGACAACAGAGAAGAGCAGGGAGGGGGAGGAAGAGGAGGATTTAGCTACAACCTCCAACTAGAGAGGCAGGGGGGAGCGTCGGGATTATCACAGAGGATTATGTTTATGGGCTCGACACACGGGAGGCGACGTCGCCTCTCCTCCATTCATTTTCAATGAGACATGCGTGACAAAGCGATAATCGCGGGTCTCCCTCCTACCAAGCGAAACGCGAAAAACGTGCGTGTGAATTTTTGCGGTCGTGCACGTGTCGTGCACAGGCGACCCAGCGACGCGATCCCAGAAAGTTGAAACATTTTCAACTTTTCATCGCCGTCGCTCGGACGAGGACCAATCAACGGAGGTTTCATTCACTGACCAATGAGCGGACAGGATGCTCCGTATGTCTCCGAGCAAACATGGAGGAGAAGTTGATTATTATTATGTTTGATAGTAAAATCAGAAGTAAGATTTCACATAACTCTAGCAGCACCTTGTGAAACATCATATCTACCGCTTTATTAACTCTGAACCGCTTAAATAACCTTAATTCCCTCCAACCTGACACAGCCAAGCAAAACAACAGAAGTTTCGATTTCGCCGTGGAACAGAACGTGTAGACGGCTTTGCCGCTGGCCGCTGCCGCGGGTCGCCTCCCGTGTGTCAGCTAATAAAAGCGACGGCGACCAATTTCGCTGATCGCGGTCGTTTGTCGCCTCCCGTGTGTCGAGCCCATAAGCCTGGACAGAAGTTTGTCCAGAGAAGTTTAAGAAAAGAGAAGACAGAAAGGACACCAGCTGGTCAGAACAACACGCTATCGTACCCCGGGGGATACGTGGCAGCGCCCTCCTCCTGTCCTGGAGCGTCGATGTGAATCAGGGTGAAGTTCTTCACGATCTCCTGCATCTCCTCAAACTTAAAGAGAGGAGAGAAGCAGCTCTTACCTGCCAAACAGGAAGGGAGGGTGAGGATGGAGGGTAGAGAGAGAAACGCCGAAGGAGTGTGTGCTACGTACTTTCCAGACCCACATCGTGGAAGGTGAGGATGGCGGGCCTGCGGGTGGTCCGTGAGCCGTGCAGGGTCACATGCAGAACGCCATGAGGGGTCTCAACGCTGTGCTCCTGACGTTGACAACAAACGTACGAGTTCATCTAAAACAGTTTACAGTTTCTGCACGTATCAGAAACGATTTAGGGAAGTTGTTGAGAATCTGATGAGTTTAGAGATGCGACGCTCCTCCACCTAGCTCAGTTTATTTATACACAGTAGTCCCTGCTTCACGCGTCTCCACACTGAGCATGCATGTAGTTATAGAAGCGATTCGATCTTAACCCCATTTGAGCCGATATTCCTGTTGTGCGAGAATCTTTGAGGTCGGGGTGAGTTTTGCGTCGTGTAATGTACGGGGCGTACGAGAAGCGACGAACACCTCCAACCAGCTTCTGATCAGCAAGCGTGCGGTCACATGAATATTAAACATGTTTGATATTCAGTTCACCCCTCATGAGGGTGTCACACCGTTGATGCGGCGCTGCAACCCAAACGTACCATAACAGCCCCCCAGCGCAGGCGCCAACATGTCTACCCAGCTATTTCCCCGTTCGTACGTCAGGAAAGCGTGTTCTATTCACATCAATTATTAAACATACCCCAAAACACCAGCTTACTTTTATTCGTCTCCCACCACCTTTTAAACATCCGTCAAAGGTGACGGAAACCGCGAGCTTGTGATTGGTCAGGACGCCGCTTCCTGTATACTCGCCACCAGCACCGCTGTAGCTCCGTTAAAAGGTAAACAGATTTAGCGGCAGACCCAGAACAGATTGAAGAACGCGTCGAGGAGAAAGTCTGAAAATAACAACATTTATTCGCCCGTGTGTGAAGGAGGACAAAATACGGAGCAAACGTGGTCGGAAACGACGGAAAATGTGGGTTTAGAGGTGGCGACTGCATGAAGGTGGAGGAGAATGAAGGACAGATTTGGCTCTGAAATCTATAAACACATTAGGGCTGCGAAGATAAGTCGACGCTGTCGACAAATATCGACAATAGAAATAGTCAACAATGAATTTCGTTGTCGACGTTGTCGCCAGACGTGTTTTTTTCCGACCGAGTGAGGCATCTCACTTCAATACAATCTCTGCCGAGAGCCGCACATGCGCTGTAGCTTCTCTGCTGAGCGCCAGCTAACAGAAATGGCGCCGTTCGACACAGCAGCTACGCGTACCAAAACATCTAAAGTTTGGGAGCATTCTAGCCGAGATTTGGCGAATAAAAAGCAGTCCTTGCGTATCACGGCAGCACCTCGGTGATGCATGGACACTTAACGAGAAAGCACGTCGGACAGTTGAAGGAAACAGTCTGACTCACCTCGGTGAGATTTAAACAACACGAAAGCCGATACGTTTTGTTTTGGATGTACATTTTTTAAAACGGATTTTCGCTTAAAAAAAAGAGATTTAATGTTGTGCCCGACTGTGTCTGACAAAAGTATTTTAATTATATTTATGCATTCATGTCTATGCTGACTGAGCACTGTGCCTAATTGGTGTTAGACAGGACATTTTATTTACTTTTAGAATGACTCGGCCTATCAGCAGCAAAGTTCAATAAAATATGCATTTTCCACTGAAGTACCCATCTTTCTTGTGTTATTATCATTTTTCACATAATTAAAGCAATCTCATGCTAAATTTAAGAAAAATGTAATAATGATCTGATTAGTCGACTAATCGTTTCAATAGTCGGTGACTAGTCGACTGTTAAAATAGCTGCAGCCCTAAAACACATTAGTAAATACGCTATCGAGGACCGGATACACGAATGTTATGGTGGCAGGATACCACAGACCAGCGCTACGCCCTCTGTTGTCCTGGCGAAGAATTGCTTTGCAACGCTCCGCTGCCTCAACAGAAGACCGAATGTGAAGACCTTTCCGACATTCTGTGTGCGTCTCTCCGTTGCGGAGCTCACGGAGAAGTATGAATCAGGGTTAAGAATCGCCAACCTTGTGGAACGTTGTCAAGACCTTATTGAACACGCATCTAACCATCAAACCTTTAAAAACGTTGATGTACCTTCTACCCAGCCTGAAATCCTCTTCGTCACCCTTCTGAGAACACGTTGTCAGGTTCTCTCAGGCATTTCTAACCACAGTCACTCATTTGATCAGTTGACCAATAATTAGCCAATAGCAAGCCTTAGTCTCCTCCCCTTCTAGTCGGCTCACGGGTCCCCGGAACAAAAAATAAAAAATTCAGTGCAAGTGAACGAAGCTATTAAAGCCGTCTTTGAACCCGCTTTGCCTCACGCCCTGGATCACACGTGTTGTACTTCAGTTTAAATGAAAAGTACCGGTGTGAGTTTCCACCATGTCTGTCACGTACTTTGAGATTTATCAGTTAGTAAAAATTCATTATTAAAATGACTACAAATCAGGCGTCGCATACACGACATCACCACGGAATCTCCTCCCCAGCGCAGCGTCAAAACGGCGAGACGCATTTGTAGTCCTACACATCTTTACACAAAAAACCCTTAAATAACTCTGCCGCCTATCAACAAGAAGTGCTTTCTTGGCATCAAAAGTTGTCTTTAAAATTTATGGACATCATGTGAAATCCATGGCATGGCAAACGGTATCAGAAAATAACTTTTATTCGCTTCATGGGCTTTTTATCATCGGCAGTTGGGGACTCATGGTTCGGATGTAGACGGGTGTAAACTAGGCTCCCTATTCCAAAAGCGTTTCATTTATCATGCAGCTAAAATCCCTTTTGAGGCCCATTTAAATGTAGCTACACGCAGTCTTACCTGTCCTTGGTCCAGGAGAATCCTAGCAGCTAGTTCAGCAGCATCCTGTCAAAAACACGGGAGTGGTTTCATCAGCAGAGAGGCGGAGTCAACAGCACCATGTCGTCACTTGGTTTTACGAATGAAGCACAGAAATTGGATTACTAGTTTGTAGAAGGAGCTGGGTCTATCCCAGGAACATCCCACTAGGATTTAAAGTACAGAATCAGACTCCCCGAGGTAATAAATCCCAGGCATGGCGAGCTCTTAGATGGGTGGGGTGGGGGCGTGAGAAAAACGGAGGTCAGGTGACGAGGAGCTGAGTGGGTAAATAGGGATGGGGTGATATAAACGCTGTGGATCATGATTATTATACAGTAATGTTTAACAATCATTCAGAAAAAAATAGTGGGTTTTATAATTGGTTACAGTGATCCCTCGTTTATCGCGGTAGATGCGTTCCAGACCTGGCCGCCATAGGTGAAAATCTGCGAAGTAGGGACACCATATTTACAGTACAGTGTCAGAACCCAAGTTCCCAGGCCAGCCTCTTCCAGCTAGCCGGCCTCCACTATGGACCACAACTCCCAGCATGCCCCTCGCGGGGATTCCCTCCACGTCGCACCTACGTCACAAACCGCGGCTATGAACGGAAGTCGCCTTTCCAGCTCACCACTCAGTCATCGTTTCTTCAGATTCATGATCAGAGTTTCCACTTTCACTTTTGTGAATCGCCTGCACCGACGGCTTAATTACTTATTCACAAGGATGCAGTCATGTATTTAATTATTGAGATATGCGATTGTTTGTTTTGCACTATCCTACATGGTACTACTGTAGATTTTTTTTTATGTATGTATTGTATATCATATTTCTATTTCACCTGTTCCTTTGTCTCTCCGACTGCTTTGAGCATGTACATGACACAAGAATTTCCCTCGGGATAAATAAAGTTGTTCTTATTCTTATTCCAACCTACCGATCCATCCCACGAACTATCAGCTCATAGTAAGTTATCTTACTTACTTCTGGAGAGCCCGGCATTTCCGTGTCACTTCGTTGACGCTCGAACGCTCGGGGGTTTCCTAGATTAATCGTGAGCCGGCGTTTCACCAACGCTCTCCCTTCCGCGTCTGTGAAACCACGCTCCCTACAAGCTCAACTCCCGAATCCAGCCGACGAGTCTGACATACAGTACTGTATTGAATTATCGTATGATCACATGCTCTTTTTGTGGGTAAAACTCAAAAAAAAAAAAAAATTTTTTTACTTGGTTTTTTATAGTTTTATTACAAAAGTGCATTTTATTATGAAATTGATGAAAAAAAAACAAGGAATTTCTCGATATTTCGCATAGAAAAATACCGCAAATCGGCGAATTTCCCTTGAATAAGGCTCCAAAGAAAAAATCCGCGAAGTCGTGAATCCGCGATAAACGAACCGCGAAGTAGCGAGGGATCACTGTAAATGTTTTATTATTTTAATCAGTCTCCTATTTATTCAGTTTAGCTGTCAAATGAATAAATACAAATTAGGATGATTATAGTCTGCAGGATGAAAACACAACGCCGTCGGAATGAAGTTTAGTCTATTTTATGAGTGGAGAGAAGACTGGCTGTTATTTCTATCTACTTCAATGCGCTTGTATGCAGTTCTTATTTTGAAGAGTATTTACTGGAAATTAAAACGTATTTTTCTGTGAGGATAAAAAAAGCTGTCGACTCATTAAATCAGATCGTTTTGGATTATTTTAGCAGTTCTTTCGAGTAAATGTCCTCTTAACCTCCGGCCACAGAAAAGGAACCTAAAATGTAAAATGCAGTAAAACAGACACCTGGTAAAACGGTGTTGGGTGTAACTTAGCAAGCAGAAACAGATGCTGAACAAGGGTTTAGTGGTAAATTTATTTGTAAAAATGTGATCACAGGATAGTTTTATTTTTTAAAGAAACCACATTACCCTTTCTTTTTGCCATCTACTTACGACCGTTGGGGGATCATCTTCGGCGGTTCGGCATGCGTTTTCATTGTCAGATCTACCTCCCCCTTCAGCGGGGGGTCGGTGGGTCAACATCAAAGCTTGTAGATGCCTTAGAGGATGTGCGCTCCTGGACGGCTACAAACTTTTTACATCTGAATGACGCTGAGACTGAAGTAATTGTACTTAGCACTGGTGTGTCTACACGCCCATGCGATGCTGTGAATCTGGGCCCTTTAGCATCCAACATGAAGACCACCATCCGAAATTTGGGAGTGCAACTGGACTCAGCCCTTAAACTCGACGCGCAAATCAACCAGGTTGTGCGATCGTGTTTTTTTTAGCCAGAATGAAGCCCCTGCTGTCCAGAGTACATCTAGAGACTGTCACACACGCTTTTGTTCTTTCAAGGCTCGACTACTGCAATGCACTGTATGCCGGCCTCAGTCAGGGTGCGGTAGCACGCTTGCAGTTAGTACAAAACTCAGCCGCTAGGTTCGTGACGGGCACTAAGCGCAGGGAGCATATCACCCCTGTGTTGGCATCCCTTCATTGGCTGCCTGTGCAATACAGGGCAAAATTCAAGGTCATGGTGCTGGCATACAAGGCCTTACAAGGAACGGCTCCAGCATATCTTGGCAACCTTTTGCATAGGCATGCCCCCTCGCGGGCCCTTCGCTCAGCCGGCAGGGAGCTGTTGATCGTTCCACGCACTAAGTGCAGGTCCCGGGGGGACCGTGCGTTCTCGGTGTTGGCACCTGCACTGTGGAACCAGTTGCCTTTGGTGGTGCGTCAGTCACCCTCATTGGGGGTTTTTAAGACTCGCCTTAAGACCCTTTTTTTGTCAAGGCATTCCAGGATTAGCAAATTTTACCCGGTTTCGATGCCCTGGCCTCTTAAATCTTTTTCAGGATTTTATTTTTTGCTTTTATTCTCCTCTTTTAATTGATTTTATGTTGGTTTTACGATTGTTATATTTTATTATGATGGTTTAATGCTTTTATTGTGTTGTGTTCAGCACCTTGGGCGTCTGCATTGGTCGCAGAAGGGGCTTTATAAATAAAATGAAATGAAAATGAAAATCCCTAATGAAAATATGGAGCTACATCTTTAGTTTATGCTGTTTAAGCCTTTAGTAATTTATTCCTGACATTCACCAATCATGATCCACTTCCACTCGGCTCCCTTTGTTGATTTTGTATCCCGCTATGGTGCCTCGTGTCACTTAGGAACTTTCTCACTAGTGTTTAAAAATGGACTCCACAATTATCGACTTCCGTACTATTGAGGTTCTTTTGAAAATGTTTTTTCTAATTTTTATTCACCCTGTGTCTTATTGATTTTTAGCTGTTATTTTTGGGAATTTTGTTGTATTTCCTTTTTGTATTTTATCTGTGTTCGACATGTTTGTATAACGCCGGTTTAATTAACCAACATTTTTAGTGTACAGCGCCTTGTTTGGTTGTAATGCCTTGTGAATGCGCTTTGTAAATAAAATTGGATTGGATTGGATTATAAACACAAGCTGCAGGTCCCGTTGGGCCCACTGGGTGTCAGCAGTGAGACACATGCTGCCCCGCTCTGATGTTACCATGCAGAAGCAGCACAGAGCAGGAGCTGCTCTCACTCCCTAGGGGCCTGAGCCAGCCACACCCCCACACAGGCTCAAACTGACAAGAGTCTTGTCTGCCCAACGCACATGTTAGTGTAGGGTTTGCTCACACTGAAACACACAAACGCACGCACACACACGTTGCAATCGTTCAAGCGAATCTGGGCTTTTTTCCCTATAGTGGGTATGAAATCAGCACACGTGTGTTTCTGCATGCAGCAAGTAGAAAAACAAGCGTGCGTACAGCGATTGTGTACGTGCATCTGTGAGTGTGTTGCAGCATCGCTGACCTTGGTGATATCAGCCTGCCCCGTGAGTAAAGGCTTGTCCTCTGTGATGGCAATCTCCTGCATTTCAGATGTCATCGTCTTGCCTCCTGCAGGTAATAAAAAAAACCAACACACACACACCAAGTGATTAAACACTCCATGTTGCCGTTTTCCTCTGGGACTTAAAGTTGGCTGTGGGACATTATGAAAGTTAATTAGTAATTAGTGCAGCAGAGATGAGCAGAAAAGGATTGTGGGACATAAAAAAAAGAGTAAAAGGAACAGTGTGGGAGAAGATGGACCCATCAGCACGGTGAAGCACATCGCAGATGTGTGACACACACTCACACTGGTGTGAGTTCAAATCAGATGAAATATAGCTGCACCTGGGAGGACACGGCTGTGTGAAACAACATCTACCCGAGGGGAGGGCTGCCTGGATCAGACTACCTGGTGAGGGTGGGAAAATAGGACTGTTCACACCTTTAAAACTAAAGTGTGTTAGAGTGAGTCCAGCCTGGAGCAAAACAGTACAGCCAGGAACATCGCTGAGAGCTTAGATCCTCCACTAGACCTGCTACAGTCTCTGACAAGGTCCGAAGGGGGTTGACAAGCCAAGCGGATGATAAATGAGCAGCGTTTCAGCCGCTCGTGTAGAAGTCACGCTATGAAACCAATATCTGGTTTCTAGGTAAGACCCAAAATTACTTTAAAAATGTGAAAAACACGTTTTAGCAAATGGTAGTTTGTTTATGAGGTGTTTTGTAGTAAACCAAAGCAGGAAGACACCAGAAGCTTTGTAGTTTTATCGATGCACAAGAAGGAGCATCTCAGTGCTACGGGACCCAAAAGCCGTGTTTCCATCATGGAGTTGAGGGAAAGGTAACTGGGAGATACAACGGCTCGGTCTTCTCAGCTGTTGTCTTCGTGCAAAATCATCTCTTTCAGGAATTTACGAAGACATCAGCAGATCACCATCATCTGAGCACTGATGCACCAAAAGACGTCCACGGACATTATTAACATTAAGCACGCCGTAGTTCAGGGACCTGGGGGAGTAGCCGTGAGACGTGAATTGTAGTGATTTTACCGCGCTCTGTGGGGGACCACAAAGCGTCGTCAGGAAGATTTCCACGACATTTTTCCGGTGCTGTGAGTTTAGTGACTGAAATTTTAAAGCAGCATCAACTGCTCATTTTCTTTTCCTTTCACTCTGCTTCACCAGCAACTCTTCCAGTTTTACAAACGGTGTTTTATTTTTTTGGACTCATCTGTCAATATAATTTCCTACGGAGTTACAACCAATCAGCATGAGTTCAGCCACAGGTCCCGCCCAGCGACTCTACCCGGCCATTTCTGAGTACACACACCAGAGCAGGTACTTCCTGAAGCTCCTTTCAGACCGGCCAGGTGAAATGGAGACGTGTGTGTGCTGCAGTTTGCTAAAATTACCTGAAGGCCTCGTAGTGGAGACGAGTTTAAAGTTACAGAAACACTTACGCGATAGGTGTGGTGTTTTTAGGAGAGGGGGACTTTATTTATTTGGGTTGAACGGGATGTCCAGTAATCGGAAGGTTGCAGGTTCGATCCCAGCTCCAGACAGAGAATACTGTTGTTGTGTCCTTGGGCAAGACACTTAACCCACCTTGCCTGCTGGTGGTGGTCAGAGAGACCAGTGGCGCCTGTGGTGGGCAGCCTCGCCTTCGTCAGTGTGCCCCAGGGCAGCTGTGGCTACATCGTAGCTCATCCCCATCAGCGTGTGAATGGATGAATGTAGGGTAAAGCACTCGGGGGTCTTCTGACTCTGAAAGGCGCTACACAAGTGTGGGTCATTTGTCATATTCTATAATGTTTATGCAGTTTCAGTGATTTAGTTGAAGCCCACACATTGTTGATGTCGTTAGTGTTGATTTAGTGAAATTTTGTGTACTTCAGCACGTTTGCCTTCGCTTCTGACGACAACAACATTAGAGGACGCAGGTTGTTCTCAAAGTTTAAAGGTATCAACTAACTTAGAATCCAAACAGACATTTGCCGAAGCAAATCAAGCTACGCTCCACAGGAACCTGCGTGTTTTCATCTTCTCCCCAGATTCTTCTACGATGTATGGAAGACTGCCCCGTTGACTGACATCCGTAGCGGTCCAAACACAGCGCTCTATTGCACCATCAGGTGTGTGGGAGGGGCAGCAGTAGCTCAGGAGGTAGAGCGGGTTGCCTCATGGTCATGGGATCGATTCCAGCTCCCGCCAGGGGTACACCGCTGTTGTGTCCTTGGGCAAGACACTTGACTCAACTTGCCTGTGTTGGTGGTGGTCAGAGGGGCCGACGGCGCCAAATGGCAGCCTCGCCTCTGTCAGACCGCCCCAGGACGGCTGTGGCTTCAAAGTAGCTTACCATCACTAGCAGTGTGTGAATGTGAGGGTGTATGAAAGCGTCTTTGGGTGTCATAAAAAGCGTTATACAAGTTTGATGCATTATTATTATTATTATTATTATTATGTTAGTGTGACTGAGTGAAACCAAGATGGTAGGGCTGGGGGTAAACGATTATTTTTAAAACGATTATTCTGACGATTATTTTATCGAATAGTCGACTATTCTAATGAGTATTTAGACGATTAATCTAGTGATTATTTTTCTATTGAACAATTAATAAAAACCAGAAAATCTCAAATAAATTCCTAAAAAAAACTGATAAGTTGTTACTGTAGGAGAATAAACACTACAGGCCTTCCATTTTGTATAACACTGCTTTTATTGGTTATGTTCTGGTGACGTGTAGATCATGCAGGCTGCTGCCTGAGAGGTGGTTGGAGACGGAGTGTCTCCGTGCTGCTTTGATTTGGTCACTTATGAGCGTGAGGCGAGTGGTGTTACGACTCTTCCTGGGGAGTTTGGCTCGTGTGCAAAAAGGAAGGGACAATAACGGGATTTAGAAGTTAAAATGATGATCAGATTTATTTACAACAACAAACATAAATCTTTCCATCCACAGGTTGGGAATAATAAAACTAATTCTGCCTGTGGGGAATTAAAACAAAAGTACAAATAACTAGGGATGTCCCACTGGGCAAATATTACTGGGTTCTGGACCAAAATAAGCATCTCCAAAGGTCCAAACTCTAAACTGGGCGGTTAAACCAAACTCAAGGTGATATTTTACACTAAACCGAAAACCCACAACACTCTAAATGTAATAAAAGGGAGATTTGCACCACAAAAAAGATGAACTCTAAACCAAAACGTAACAGCTTATCCAAACGCAAGAAGCTGTTAGCGAAGATGCTAACAGTAGCTTTACCAACGTTAAGTTCAAGTTACCAAGTTAAATAAACCAAAATCACCCAGCAGCAAACAGACCAGCACGGAGGAGAGACTGCTACCACCAAAACAGCTCTCCTCGTGTCTGAAAGAAGCTCCTTCATGAAGGGAGAAACGCTCCCGGTGGTTTTCTACATCTGCGGTAGAGACGAAGCAGCACATCTGACCCGGAAGTTGTTGTCCGTTGCCGGGAGACGAAGGCGGGCAAAACAGGAAAGGAATCTAGTAGCGGACGGACATTGTTCCGGGTCTTCGGTACTTGGCGGAGATGTTAGTGAAGGCGGAGAAGAGGGCGAACTAGAGGAGAAACAGGCAGATTCCTCCTCTGTTTACAAACTCCTGGAGATGCAACAAGTGGGCGTGGTGCGTCGACTACCGGATCTGACGTCGACGAATTTTTAGAATCGAGCCGTCGACGTCATCGAGGCTTCGCTACAGCTCTACAAAATGGCGACTGCTCCATAAAGGTCTAGTCCCAGGACTCTATTGGTTTGGAGCACCCTGTTGGTGCACGGGATGTTACAGAAAAAACAAAGGTGGCGATGGCTTGTTTGAAATGGCTTTCTTAACGACTTTGAACAAGTTCTACTAGAATGTTTCTTTGAGTCAAGAGCAGATAGAGGTACTTTGGTTCTTTATTAGAAAAAAAGATGCATTTGCATCTTCTTCAGCAGAGTGTGGTGGACTGCCTCGTTGACTGACAGTGAGCGGGAAGGACGTCACGTTGTTTGTTATCCAACAGCATGTGGAGACCGTTTCAAATACAATCGTAAAACCTGCCTAAGGCTAAAACGAATCTTTGAATGATTCAAATGGTTTGATAAATTAAATTTCCCGATCCATTTTGCACGGATTTGAAGCCTCGTTAAATGTGCGCACCAGAGTGGGGATCTAGGTGCTGTGGAGGAAAATAGAGAAACCAGCAAAGACACAAACCATTTTAAAAGGTAGAAATGGTCCAAAGTTTGGGATCAAGGGTTAAACTACGGGCAGATTGGGAACTAGACACCAATTTAACACGTTCATTTGATGGTTTTGTCGTTTTCATATTTTTAGCAGCAGACCACAATCTCGTTTCACTTGAAACGCTGTCAAATAGAATATTTGATTGATTGATGGAGAATTTGATGCTAAAATATTTAGTAGCTGCAGCCGTAAACCTGCCCCTACGGGCCGTGCCGAGACTATACATTCACATATACCGGATGGCTTGCCAGGCTAGGCATCAACATGGTCAGATTTAAATCTAAATCTGATTAATTAGGGGTTCAGAGTTTAATGCTTGAAGTAAATCTTTACAATGATTTATAAAACTGCATCTATGGGAACGCCATTCATCCTTGATGTGACGGTGCACGTTTGCGTACTGCTCTCATAAAACAACAACTGTTTTGACATTAGAGACGAGTTTGGAGTGAGTGTGCACACATCAGAAAAGGAAGTCGCTCCTCGGGGGGGGGGGGGGGGGGGGGGGGGGGGGTAAACCTCGTGTCTCTGGGTCTCGGACAGAAACGATTACTCACCAAAGGACCACAACCCTTCCATGTAAACACACCATTCATCCCTCCTGCCTCCTCTCTAATTCATGCATGTAATAGTCTGCCTTCATCCGTGTCATTTTATTTTTAACTCCGTCACTTTCACATGAGCCTCTTCTGGCGTTTGTCATCTGTTTTCGTACTGAACGCCATTGCTTCTTCTCTTCCCTGTTGCTGGACTTGAGGTCAGGGCTGAGATGATATAAAACCAACCTAAAACTAAAAGGAATCTGATGGAAACCCTGC